AACTCAGGATCTATGACGGGGCTATATGAATCAAAAAATTCCTTTGACAATATTCAACACACATTACAGTTCAAAAGTTTTTGAAAGCAGTCTCTTACCATGGCTGCATGTATTTGAACAACATTTCAATTAAAAATAAACTATAAATTATCATTTAAAAATAACAGCTTTTTATTTGTAAAATATTTAAAAACGTATTCCTGTGATGGCAAAGCTGAATTTTCAGCAGCCAAATGCTGTTCAAAGAAACATTTATTTGCAAAAGAACACTTTTGTATCGTTACAAATGTCTTTAATGTCACTTTTGATCAATGTAATATCGTTGCTTAATAAAATAACTGTTTTACTGACCCCAAAAATTTGAGTGGTAGTTTATATGGAAAACATTAGATATATATGAGAAGATATTTTGATAGATTTTTAAAAATGTATTATTAAAATGAATCATTATATTCCTTTCGGAATCATTATAATCAGAATTTAACAGCCCATATATTAAGAATTATTAACTACATAGCTCATTATTTATGTAACTGCAAAAATAAGCCAGTAAAAAAAAAAATAAATAAATAAGAAATTGAATTGGCCAAAAAATGATTGCAACGCTGCTTCAATTTATATCATCACACATGTCTGAAATATCACCCAAACCATATTCCATCACATGTAATTGGTGTTTGGACTCACTGAGGATGTAGTTGAAGAGGTTGCAGTAATTATAATAGGACTCAAATCTCTGGTCGAGAGTTGGACCTCCCTAGAGACGAGAAGACACATGACAAGAGCTGAGACTTAATCTAGGGCTTCATATATATATTCTATTCACAAAGAATTTTCTTGACTATTAAACACTAACAGACAGACGAGCAAACACACTCACGCTGACTTTGGCGTAGATATGCCGGTAGTACAGCTCCTTGTAAAGGATCAAGAAAACTGCATCTGTGATGGACAAAACAACATGTGCAAGTCAGCAAAAAACACCAACAACAACAAAACTTACATCAACTGTATAGTTAAGAGGTTTGGATTCCTGAATACAGCAAATGTCTAATTCACTCACCATTACCAACCAGGGAAGCGATGGCTTCTGCCTCAGGCCATGGTGATGTCTTAAAGAAGCGTTCGGTAAGCTTATTCCAGCTGAAATAAAATAAAATATGATACATCAAAATTTCCCAACATACATCAGGAAAGTCCATGTAACTGTACGGCTGTGCACCTGTTCTCATAAACATCCTGGATCTCGTAGATCTTCTGCTCAATGCTCTCGCTGGACACACGGTTGGCCTGCAGCTCGTAAACCTTCTGATCGATCAGGTCTGAGATGGTCTTATGAAAATATTGCAGGAAGTTCTTGATGACCTCAGGGATCACATGGTACGTCTGCTGGTGCTCATACTGACGTTCAAAAGCCAGATCGGCTTTAGGGTCGCCTGCAGAAGACACATCCTTTATATATCAATCTAGGTAATCAATCTGTTCAAAAGCTTTATTGGAGTGGTAAAAAGCATAAAATTGCCAAAGTATTAAAAAAAAGTGTGTATATTTTGGAGTGGTAAGATGTTGAATCACCAAGGCTGCATTTTTATATTAAAAATACAAAAAAAATATTATTAAGTATTATTACAATTTAAAGCAGCTGTTTTCTATGTGAATATACAGTAACGTGTAATGTATTCTTGCGATAAAAGCTGAATTTTCAGCATAAGTACTCCAGGCTTTAGTGTCACATGATGCTTCAGAAATCATTCTAATATGATACAAAAGTTTATATTTAAAATAAATGCTTTTCTATTGAACTTTCTACTCAAAGAATAGTTTAAAAAAATGTACACACCTGTTTTCAGCATTGATAATTATAATGTAGAAGGTTCAACCAGGCGCTCAGGTAAAATATATCAAAACAGTGATAGGTGCTCTTGGAGTAGGGAAAAGATCCAAAGAAACAAAAGAACAAGTCCCCCCAGGCACCCCCCAGTCAAATCCTCAAATAAGGAGAAGGATAAAGTTAAAAAGCCTTTATTGAATGTGGCTTAAGTCATTAAAAAGAAAATGAGCCAACATGTTTCGACCAAACAAGTGGTCTTCTTCAGGGCAAAGTAACACAAGTTATGAAAACACTTGATATGAGAAAATTTTATGAGAAAATATTCACTTTTTAATGATTTGTCACATTCAAAAAACCTTTTTAACTTTTCTTCAATTGAAGACTTGACTGAGTGCCTGGGACCTGTCCTTTTGTTTCTTATTGATAATTATAATAATGAATGTTTTTTGAGCATCAAATCCGCATATTAGAATGATTTCCGAAGGACACTGGAGTAATGATGCTGAAAATGAATATATATATATATATATATATATATATATATATATATATATATATGTGTGTGTGTGTGTGTGTGTGTGTTGTTTATTTTGTGTCTTTAGTTTATCTGTCATCTGTATAAGCAGACACTTACCGGTGTGATAGTCATAATCAGTGGGGTAGGAATAAGGGTCATACTACAGACAAAAAAGAGAGAGATGACAAAATCATCACTCTGACATGTTACCATTAAAATGCGAAGTTCGTAAATAACAAAGAGAATGAAAATTTGGTGTGGTCGTGATGCTCCATTGATTAAGATCAATAACGTTATACGTTACACGCTTTAATCTCTTAAACACGCTCTCGTGTCAAAAGAAGTCACTCACGTTAACATCTTCGTCGTCATTCGGGACCGGGAAAGACTGTGACATGATGAACGTTTATTCCTTAAAGTTGGAGTATAATTCGTTAATAAACGAAAAAAACACCACAGCAGCCGCAAAGCACGCGCGGAGGAGAGAGAGGAAGTCCACAGCACATACTTCCGGTGACGCACCCGCAGCGCACAAGGCATTGTGGGCCAGTGGCGGAATCATTTTTCGTAAACTTTCAGATTTCAAGTGTTAAATTAGAAATTGATTGGTTAATCCTGCCCAGTGGCCGGTAGCATAAACTGCTAAAACTAGTCTTACAAGTTAGTAATCCAATTATATGCTGTAAGACTGTTCTTTTTTTAAATCAGTTAGGCTATATAAAAACGTAGATTGATCTACCGAAAAGTTAAGACTGATTGATTACCCCTAACCTAGGCTACTGATAGGCTATCTTAAGGCAAGTAGTTTTCTTTAGAAAATGTGGACTAAACTTATTTTACAATATTTTTTCTATGGTGATGAACGCTCATATAGGCTATCTAGCTGCATTACCAAATGTGTCCAGTAGATGTCCAGATGTTCCTATATGAGCAGCAGTCACATCAGCCCATCACATTCACTTTAACACTTCGAATCTGATTTATTTTATGACGTTTTTGTGTGTGTGGCTTTTATAATGAGGTATTTCGTCAGCTCACAAGATAAATGAAACACCATGGGTTATTGCGATTTTGCCTACAACAAGACACCCAATCACTATCTCGATAGTGTTGCCAATACTGGAGATGTGGTGATTTTAAAGAGTGAATTCATGCTTCACTGAGCACTGCTGAACATGAGAGGCAAAAATAGCACGTGTCCCCTTTGAATTAATAAATAAGTGAGGTTTTGAAATCCCACATGTGTAGTTTTGTCTCTGCACTCGTGGGAATGGAGGCTGTTATGAGTTTCAATAACTGCTGCCATATGTCTACTTATTTGGCTTGAAAAAGAGAATACGAGTAAAGCGGTTCAAAGTGTTTGTTTTGAATTACTTTAAGCCACTCTCTGGCACGTCAGTGCAAACAAGCCAAAGTAAAAACACAATAAGATGATGATGATGACGATGATGGCTTTCAAGTCTGAGTCTGCAGTTATAATTAATAGCAGCCCATTCTCTTGTTAATAGAGGTGCTGCTGCTTAGGGGAGATGATTTTCTGTGGATAAAAAGTGTAAATGAACATAAAAATAGTTAAACATCATCACTAATGGTTGATCTATCTATCTATCTATCTATCTATCTATCTATCTATCTATCTATCTATCTATCTATCTATCTATCTATCTATCTATCTATCTATCTATCTATCTATCTATCTATCTATCTATCTACCTACCTACCTACCTACCTACCTACCTACCTCTTCTCTATCTATCTATCTATCTATCTATCTATCTATCTATCTATCTATCTATCTATCTATCTATCTATCTATCTATCTATCTATCTATCTATCTATCTATCTATCTATCTATCTATCTATCTGTCTGTCTGTTCTGTCTGTCTGTCTGTCTGTCTGTCTGTCTGTCTGTCTGTCTGTCTATCTATCTATCTATCTATCTATCTATATATCTACCTACCTACCTACCTACCTCTCTATCTATCTATCTATCTATCTATCTATCTATCTATCTATCTATCTATCTATCTATCTATCTATCTATCTATCTATCTATCTATCTATCTATCTATCTATCTATCTATCTATCTATCTATCTACCTACCTACCTACCTACCTACCTACCTACCTCTCTATCTGTCTGTCTGTCTGTCTGTCTGTCTGTCTGTCTGTCTGTCTGTCTGTCTGTCTGTCTATCTATCTATCTATCTATCTATCTATCTATCTATCTATCTATCTATCTATCTATCTATCTATCTATCTATCTATCTATCTATCTATCTATCTATCTATCTATCTATCTATCTATCTGCAGTCAAACCAAAACCAAAATTATTCAGACACCATATATAATGTTTGATATTTGTTATTAGTGGGTGCAGGACACTACTTAATTTAGCCTGTGTAAGTATCTCTATCTAGGCTCATCTATATACATTTGTGTATTTACAGTGTACCTAATAAAGTACTGGATAATGTAACTACTGTAACTATGGGTTACCCAGTTATTGCAATCACTAAATAGTATGTGCATGGGGAAGTGCTACCACGAGAGAGAGGAGAGAGAGGAGAGAGAGAGAGAGAGAGAGAGAGAGAGAGAGAGAGAGAGAGAGAGAGAGAGAGAGAGAGAGAGAGAGAGAGAGAGCATACAATTGAGTCGAGGAGAGGGTCAAGACAGTCCAAACCGAGCGCTTCACTTCATTACGCACAGAGAAAACACACAGAGCACCACCCGCAGCACCGCTATACAGAACACACTGAACGAGCGGCGAAGACACGGGATTTAAGGAATTAAGCTTCACGTTGGAGAAAAGATCGTGTCTGAACAGAGTTTTGTGGATTTGGTGCGTCTGGAGAGCTGTGAGGATGCGCGTCTCGGTCCTGCTGCTGCTCTGCGCTCTTTACGCAGGAGACGCGCACAAACTGTCCGCGCTCACGGTGGGTCACCACACTTTATAATCTCTCACATTAACATCATTTATTGTACACCTGTATATAAAAATATGTTTATACGATTTCTGGCTGATTTAATGGTCTTTAACTCTTTGTTGTCATCATATTAGTAATAGACCTGAAAGTGGATTTGATAAGTATTATAAGTAGTATTATCAGTATAATAACATCAGGCTAATTTTCTTTTTACACTTTAAATGTATACACTGCAAATGTTTTATCCAGTAGCTATCAAAACTAACTGTTTATTTATTTATGTATTCGTTTTTTTTTTTTCAAGACAAATATGTCATTTACTGCAGCAAAAGTGTCTGATCAGGTAGAAATAATTCCTGATTGCAAATTGCAATAATTTTAACAGTGTGGTAAAACATAGTAATACCAATTTCATCATCAGATCCAGAATTCATCTTTTTTGGCCAAGTATGTTTAGTGTTTTTTTCCCCTAAATAAGCCAGTTTGAAATGGGTTTATTTTAGGTTTCGCACTGTGGGTTTGGGTTCTCAGAGCATCTCTGTGCTTGTTTTGTAAAGTGAGAAGCTCAGATACTAGAGTAAGGTGAGATGGGTAATCATGGGAATCCTATTTAGGCTCAGTGATGTTTGTGCACTCACAATTCAGGAGGGTAACCAAAGATCCACAAGCTTTCTTTCAAATAATCGCACACACACTAGCTCCTTACCCTAACCATAACCTAATTATAACCTCACCCCTAAAAACTAAGTCTTGACCCTCAAACAGGCCTTTAAAGGGATCTCAGAAAGACATTTACAGACTTTGTCCTCACTCCACTGGTCTAAAACTCAAAAGTACACACACATGAGAGCTACAGGTGCACACTCACCTCATGCTTTCCCTTATACTGTGACAGGCGCTTGGTTTCGCCCGCTAAGCGCTGAGAACAGAGATACACTCCCTCCCTGCGGCCGCTGGCCTCTACATGGACGTCTGCCTGTGTACACAAGGTTAGGGCTGCTGATTGCGGGAAGCCGCTCCCCATTAACCGAGTGAGAGAGTGAGTGTAGCTTGTCCCAGTGGGATATGACCGCTAGAGAGAGAGAGCGATGCACAGGCACATTTGTCCGTCCAGAGCCTGGACACAGAGCAGCTTTGACGGACCTCGAAGCCCAAGCATTTCTTTCCAACCAACCCGGCCCTGCCCTGCCGAATGCCAGAGAGGCTTTGCGCTTTCAATAGTGAGACAGGAAATGGCCCACTTTCTAATCCATAAATGTTGTTAAATGGTCAATATTTGTGTATCTGTCAGGAGTTGCAACAAATGTAGTATATAATAAAGTGTGCTTTGCAGCTGTTTGGTACCGTTTCTATTTGTGGTCACATATTTTGTTCTTAACCAAATGCACTGAAAATATGCAAAGCTACAATGCACAAGTGAGAGTCAAATTAATAGTAAAAAAAAAAAAAGATCTGGAATAAGGGTCATATCTGGAACAATGTTATTTTACTATTATTCAGATGCTAACATAGTTTTGATTTTTAAACAATTGTCATTTTAATTTTTGTGAACATTTTAGCTATTAGTTTTTTTTTGTCATTTTAATTTGTTTTCATACATTTTTATTTCAGTTTTTGTTTTAGTTATTTTAATACATCCACTTAAACTACATGAATATTTTGCATATTTTATTTCAGTCATAACATTTATTTGATTTTAACTAAATATTTTTTTTTATGGTTTTAGTTAACTAAAATGACCCTGATATGGAATCCCAGGAGTGTTATTTTCTCACTGTATTGAAAGTGATCAGCGCTCTGCTGTGATTTCACGCGGTCCGGTCCCTTTTGGGCCACGAGCCGCTGAGTTTTGGCCTGGGTTGTGTTCCTGGTGCTGATGGAGGCTGTTAGCACCACGGCCAGAGATACAGTTGCTGTCAATGTTTCTCTGCTGGCATCTGCTGTTGCTCGGCCTTCTGGGATGGCAGCTATGTGGTACAGGCATGAATCAGGGCCTGTGATGACGAGGTCTCCTGGGCACCTGCTGCAGTTCATGCCGAAAAAGGAAGATATGCTGTTATTTGAGAGAGAGAGAGAGAGAGAGAGAGAGAGAGAGAGAGAGAGAGAGAGAGAGAGAGAGAGAGAGTAAACAGGGGGATTTAATTCACACAAGCGTATAGGTACGAACCTCTTGCTCCAGAGTAGCAGGGCTCCATTTAAATAAACTAGCCGTCCTGAGGTGTCAGATTCACCTGTACTAGTTCGTCATTAAACACAGTCCAGTCGCTTGAGTTGCCATCTTGATCCCATCAGAAAGGCTGCATCCTGAAGCAGACCAAAATTGGTTGCAATAATAATAACAATAATTCATTACATTTATATAGCACTTTCCTCGGCACTCAAAGGTCTTTACATATAAGAGGAATCTCCTCAACCACCACCAATGTGCATCCACCAGGATGATGCAATGGCAGCCATATTGCGTCAGAACGCCCACCATACACCAGCTTACTGGTGGAGAGGAGACAGAGTGATGTAGCCAATGAGTATATATATATATATATATATATATATATATATATGGGGATGATTAGGAGGCCATGATGGACAGAGGCCACTGGGCAAATGTGGCTAGGATGGCGGAGTTACACCCCTACTCTTTCGAAAGACATCCTGGGATTTTTAATGACCACAGAGAGTCAGGACCTCGGTTTAATGTCTCATCCGAAGAATGGTGCTCTTTGATGGTATAGAGTGCCGAAGTTACGACGTCACTCTGTAGGCCAAAAGGCGGAAGTGAGTTAGCATTTTAGCACTACGGTTCCCTCGCTCTAAAGCCTATGGGATTTTTGAATGGGTTTTTGCTAAATCGCCTGAAATAAGGTCTGTGGTGAACAAAGCCTCTAAATATTTTCACGTTTTGATCTATGACGCAGAACACACAGTTATAACCTGCTTGTGGTTTTTTAAACTTTATTGTGTCTGATTGCGTTTTTTTAAATCTTTATATAGGCTTCGAAATGTATAAATGTTGGATTAACTTGTAAAGATTATCTTGATAAACAAAACGTGTAGGGGTCACAACCCTTTGCTAAACACAGATCTTATTTTTTGCGATTTTCCAAAAGTCTACGGGGAAAATGCATTGCTTTTCGACCGAGGGAACCCATGCGCCGCTAGCTTCCGAGTTGTCCTGCAAAGTGACGTCATCACTTCGGGACTCTATAGTGTCCCCATCACTCTACTGGGGTGTTAGGACTCACACAGATCACAGGGCGAGCGCCCCCTGCTGGCCTCACTAACACCTCTTCCAGTAGCAACCTAGTTTTCCCAGGAGGTCTCCCATCCTAACCAGGCTCAACCCTGCTTAGCTTCAGTGGGCAACCAGTCTTGGGCTACAGGGTGAGACGGC